GGACAGGAGGATGGGTACAGGAGGAAGGGACAGGGGGGACAGGAGGAGGGGCAAGGAGGAGAAAGGAGGAGGGACAGGTAGGGCAGGGACAGGAGGAGGGGCGAGGAGGCAAGCGGAGGAGGGGCAGGGATGGAGGGGGCAGGAGGAGGCAGGAGGTGGGCAGGAGGAGGAGCAGGAGGGGGAAGGAGACAGGTGAGGGACAGGGAGGAAGGGCAGGAGGTGGCGAGTTGGTAGGCTATCTGTAGCCAGGGGACCAGTTCCATGTGGCCGTCTGGGGGGCCTCTGGCATATTGGCAGTCGAGGTGGTCAAACCCTCCTCCTGCCCCTCCTCCTGCCCCTCCTCCTGCCCCTCCTCCTGTCCCTCCTCCTGTCCCTCCTGTCCCTCCTCCTGCCCCTCCTCCTGTCCCTCCTCCTGTCCCTCCTCCTGCCCCTCCTGTCCCTCCTCCTGTCCCTCCTCCTGCGCCTTCTCCTGTCTCTCCTCCTCCTCCCACTTCTCCCAGCTCCCACCCTGCACTTCCTCTGTGCCCTCCCACGGTGAGGCAGCAGGGAGCAGAGACCAGGCTCCTCCAGGCCCTCTCAGGCCACTTTGCTTCCAGAGCACCCAGCAGCTGAGGCCTCCTCAGCCTTGACCAAGTGCGGGGTGCCCAGGCCCCTGCTGTGGCTCTGGAGAAAGGCCAGGCTCCTTCCCAGCAGGGTGGGCGTCCAGCCAGCCCGAGCAGCTGAAGCACTGACCTCAGGACCCCCACCTCCTGCCCACCCCACCCTCCTGTCTGGGCCAGGCCGGGGGCCAACTTGCACCTGCTGCCTGGGTCTAGCCCTCGTCTGTTCCTCCTCTCACCGCCTGGGTACCTTCGGTGCTCCACCACCCACAAGCCCCTCCAAGCTGGGGCAGTGCTGGCTTGGACTGTGCCACGGGCCGTCCAGCTCAAGGCCCGGCCTTGCCAAGGCCCACAATAGCTTACCTGCCAGTGCTTCTACCCTGGGCCTCTCCAAGAAGCTGCTGGCACCTCCCTACACGCCTCTGCTCTGTAGGTCAGGGGGTCCCAGGGCCCACCCTGAGGCCCCTACCCCCTCGCCCTGTCCCCACCACAGGGCTCCTCTGCCCAGATGTCCCAGGTCCAAAGTGGAGGCCCAGCCTTGGGCCTCAGTCAGCTCCTGGCCCGGGTGTGAGGGGTGAGTTGTAGCTGCACGGCCTCACTGCCCGCCAGGCCTGCGGAAGGGAGGACATGCCCTCCCACAGACCCTGTCAGGGCGGACTGCCATGGAAGGTGTCCAGGCCCTTTTGGGCATCCCTTGACCCCGTCTAGGTCCCCAGGTACTTGCAGGAAAGAGGGGGTGAGCACAGCCTTCTCTAAGGGAGCACCCAAGTCCTGGCCAAAGTGGCCCCCCACCCTGGGCCTCCACAGTCCAGGCAGCCACCTCTTCAGTCTCTGCCCTTAATGTGAGGCAGAGTGGATAGAGGGACTCCCTCCTCTGACCAGCTGGGCAGGCAGGGAAACCCGGGCATGGGAGTCCAGGGCTGGTGGCCATGCCTGGAGGGAACTGGCTGCGTCTGCAGCCCCGGCCACAGGCCCCAGGACACCCAGACCACTTGGCAGGACCCCAGGGTTAAAAGGCAGTTTGTGGCTCCACTTCTCCCCTAATGATGGGCACCTTGAAGGGGCTCTGGGCACTAGCAGGACAAACACCATAGGGAAACTCAGCAGCCAACCTACCACCAGGACCCGCCTGTCCTCTGCCCTCCCAGACGCCTGGTCATGGGTCCAGCAAGCTCCCAGGGAGGGCACGCCAGGCGCTGGGCCCATGGACGCACTACAGAGAAACGCCACAATCGTTGGGGGCATGCGACTAAGACGTCTCCTAACCATCGGCACCCACGGGGCGCGGCTCTTTCCAAAACGCCACGTTAAAACAGCTGCAGGAGGACGGAAGGGGCCTCGTGCCCATCCCCTGCTGCTACTCCCCACCCCGCCCTCAGCCTCCTGCCGCCGGAGCTCCGCCCACCTGCACCTGACTCTTCTTCATCCCCAGCCCCATAAGCAAGACTAGCTCATGGCCAGTAGGTGCTTCCTGAGAGTTTGGGAATAACAGGGGAACTACAGCACATAGCAACAATTTTAAAAGCAAACCAGGCATCAGCCCTTGCCATCCTCAAGCCGTCACCACCCCTGCCCAGGATGGAGCTCCAGTGGCTGCACACTCCCCCCGGGGCTCGCCCTGCAGCTGCCTCTCGGCTCCTGGGAGGAAACTCCACATTTCAGCTGCTTTATACCCAGAGAAGCCTCCTGCCTCCCTCCCTAGTCCTGGCGGATCCTGGGCCTTTCCTGCCTACCTGGCCTCCTGGAAATAACTGGCCGAGCCTCTCTGTGTGTCTGGCACAGCATGGGGCCGAGGCCAGAGCCACTGGCGGTGCCCTGCAGAGAGGGTGGCGTTACAAAATCCCCCACCACCCCCCACTGTAGAACACACCCTGGGCCCAGCTGGGCCCTAGAGGTGCCCAGAGGAGGGAACTGAATTCTTCAGGAGGAATCGGAGATGCCCTTGTGGTTGAGGAGGAGCTGGGGCTGGGGCAGGGTCCGGGGCTGGGGCAGGGTCCAGGGCTGAGGCTGGGGTCGGGGCTGGAGCTGGGGCTAGGGCTGGGGCTGAGGAGGAGCTGGGGCTGGGGCCGGAGCCGGGGCAAGGGCTGGGGCGGGGGCTGGGGCTGGGTCTGGGGCCAGAACCTCCATCATTTGCTGGGCTCGTGTTCAGAAATGGAGGAATCTCAGAACCGGTCACTGTGGTCTGCAGGGTGGCAGGCCTGAAGCTGGCCCTCTCTGCAGAGGACACCTTGGGGGCTGCTGCTCAGCCTTGAGGCCAGAGACAGCTCTCACCTCCCCCACGGCCCCCGCCCCAGGAGAGTTTTAGCAGAGCCGGTTCTCTTGTCCCATCAGTGTCTGTGTGGGGTCGCCCTGCTCCCCTAGGAGAGTGGGTCTGCAGGAGGGAAGCCAGAGTGGCCCCTGGAGACCTCAGGACCCCAGAGGGAATGGGCAGGGAGCCTCGAGGATCTGGAGGAGGGGAATTCAGAGAGGTGGGAAGCCAGGGAGCCCTGAGGAGAGGGGAGACGGAGTGTAGGGGGAGGGAGTGAGCTGGGGGGGAGTCCTGAGTGGGGAGAGGGGGAAGGAGTTGGGGTTGAGAGGAGAGGGAAGGAAGGGGGGGGAGGGAAGGGCGATGGGGGAGCCCCCACAGATACCCCAGCTGCTGGCTGGGCACTGGACATCCCTCACTGTTGAGCCTTACTCATACTAGGGGCAGCCGTGTCCCAGCCCACAGCCAGGTTGGAATCAGGGACCCGTGGCGACCACCCTCCCTCAGCTGAGCTCGCCAACGGCTCAGAAATATTCATTTCAAAATTAAAGCCCCATTAAAGAGTTAACTTGTTGCTGTCACTGCAACTTATTTTATTTTATTTTATTTTATTTTATTTGAGACAGAGTCTCACTCTGTCAGGCAAGCTGGAGTGCCGTGGCATGATCTCAGCTCACTGCAACCTCTGTCTCCTGGGCTCAAGCAACTCTCCTGCCTCAGCCTCCCGAGTAGCTGGGATTACAGGCACCCACCACCACGCCTGGCTAAAATTTGTGTTTTTAATAGAGACAGGGTTTCACCATGTTGGCCAGGCTGGTCTTGAACTCCTGACCTCAGGTAATCCGCCCACCCTGGCCTCCCAAAGTGCTGGGATTACAGGTGTGAGCCACCGTGCCTGGCCTGCAACTTATTTTTATATTAAAAAGTTTGAGTCCTTAGAGGACGGAGGCCTACAGAGCCATGGGCCAGGCAGAGCAGAGGTGAGAGAGCAGAAGTGAGAGTGGCACCCTCCCCTGCCGGGGCCTGCGGTGTCGTCTGGGGCTGGATCCTCAGGCCCCGTCCTCCCGCGACCACCTGGCTGCCCATGTGGACCTGTGGTCAGTCCCGGGGCCCTCAGATAGGCAGGAGGAAGTGTGTACCCTGCCCTGCCTGCTGGCTGGGAGCCCACGGGGCGGGCAACACCGTGTGACGTCTCCCACGTGGTTTCCTTCGTTTTTTCTGAAGTGCTCTGGTCCTTTCCCTTCTTTTTAAACATTTTATTATGGACGTGTCCTACCCCACACAAGGAAGAGTCAAGTACCTCATGCCAGCCCCCTGTCCCAGCCCCCCAATTCCGGCCCCCCGTCCCGGCCCCCTCATTCCAGCCTCCCATTCCGGCCCCCCCATTCCGGCCCCCTCATTCCAGCCTCCCATTCCAGCCCTCCCATTCCAGCCCCCCATTCCAGTCTCCCATTCCGGCCCCCCCATTCCGGTCCCCCATCCCAGCCCCCCCATTCCAGCCCCCCATTCCGTCCCCCGCATTCTGCTGCTGTCCCTTGGTGTGTAAATGTTTCCGTTTGTCTCTACAAGATCACGAGTTCCCTGCGCTGAGCGCTTTTTCCTTTCCCCTTTCCCCAGTGCCCCTGCTCCCTGCTGCATTTGGAAATAACCTAAACGTCCTCCCTCCGGAGACTGGTTAAACATCTGGTTATGATCCAGTGGTAAGCAGCGACTCCCTTGGGTTAAGAATACACACGCACACATGCACACATATGTGTGCACATGCACACTCACACGTGTGCACACACATGCACACTAACATACATGTACGCATGCACACAGGAATACATACACACGCACATGCCCACTCATACACACACACATGCACACATGCACTCCCACACACACATACATGTGCACACACATGCACACACTCATACACACATGCACACTCACACATGTGCACACATGCACATGCACACTCATACACACACATGCACACCTACACTCACACGTACACCTACACTCACATGCACACACACTTGCCAACAGCCCTGAGGAGGGGATCCCGGGTTAACAGGAGCTGCCCCTGAATGTGTGAGGGGTGGGCTGGATTAGAATACCATGCTTGGCTGTCAATATTTTGTAATTGTTCTGTAAAAAGTAGATTCATTTTGTAATAAGCAAATAAGCTTAAAAAAGAAAAAGAAATCTTGGATCAGGGTTTTACGCACTTTCATTTTAAATCCCATTTCTGCTCTCAATTTTGGTAATGGTTTCATGGTCTTTTCAATTGCTCACATGAGTGTTTCCACCAGCAGCTCACGTTTCTGGAATTCGTTTCTTTGGCTGTGCCATTTGTGATCCCCTCTGCTGCACCGTTTGCCTGGGGAGTGCATTAGCCAGTCAGGAGCCTGGGCCACTGCACCCTACCAGGACGGCAGGACTGGAAAGGCCGCTGACGTGAGTGCAGGGGGGACAGGTGGAGATGAGCTCAGCCCGTCTCAAAGTGGGGCATCCTGACACCCCCAGAGGCGTGGGGCAGGAGCGGCGGGGCAAGTGTCTTGCCAGGCTTAAGGCTCTAGGACCAGAAACCAGGCTGAGGGAGAGGCTCCTGGGTGAGGAGTGCCATGGGGGCTCAGGAAGTGCTGCCCCAGCCTTTCCTATGCTACTCGAGTTCTCACTTCTATGAGTATATCTAGACAAAAATCAAAATTAGAACATGAAACTTCCCTTTCTCTTCCACTAGCCTCGAGGGTACACATGCCGTGGGCTGGCGGAGTAGGCCCTGTCCCACCGCAGGCAGCATTCTACAGGCCGATTCAAGAGGCCTGGCACCTGCCACGCAACCACCCTCGGCCCTGAGCCATCTTCGAGGAACGGGGCCCTGGGCCCTGCAAAGACTCCTGGTACTGGGCATCACTCGGCCCCATGTGAGGGAACCCCTGGAGTGCAGATGGCAGAGGGTAGGGAGGTCCTGAGAGCCAGGGTCTGCACCTCAGTGGTGCCTGGGGCCACAGACAGGGTGGCCCAGGGACACTGCTGAGGAGACAGTGGGCCCAGATCCCATGTGTTGGGGGTGAGGGTAGTGGGGGGTGAGGGTAGTGGGAGGTGAGGGCAGTGCTCCAGCTATTCCGGGAGTGCCAGGCGGTGGTGGGGTGGGGTGAAGGCCCCATCTCCTGCCCTTGCTCCTTGCCTCTCCAAACCCATCCATGGGCAGCGGGTGCTGGGCTGGGTCACGGGCCAGGGAGCAGCGACCCAGGATGTACCTGCAGCAAGCGGGGTGTCCCCTTAGGGAGGGGGGAGTCCCAGCCTTTGGACCTAATTTGGGAGAGGTGAGATGTTAGAGGGTCTGGGAGGGGCTCCCACTCCTGTAGTGAGCATGGGGGCTGGGCATGAGAGGGGAGGGGCCACAGCAGGTCAGGTGACCCCGGCCTCAGGGACAGCGAGGCAGCCTCGGCTACCAGAGGCTCGTGGCAGCCTGGCCTGCCCAGGGGCCCTGGGCACTCTCTGGGCCCTGGGTCCTCATTTGCTGCATCAGGCAGAGTGGAGAAAGCTTCCTCAGCGGCGAAGGCTCACACATCCAGGGGTCTCACAGGCCAGGAAGTCCTCCCTGTCACCAGGGGAGGAGCCTGGACGCCAGAGAAGGACTGTAGGACTGTAGCCAAGGTGTCACATCCCACCAGCTCTCCGGAAGCCTCTGCACAACCCTCCCCAGGCCACTGCCTTCCGCCCAGGATGCCCCCCTGGTCCTCCCCACCAGCCCCCACAGCCCAGGCCGCCAAGGCCAGGGTAATGGAGGAGGACATGGTGACACCTGGGGGCGGCCGCAAAGCCAGACAGTGAGCGCTCAGGAGACAGCAGGCCAGCGAAGGGGAGAGGAAGGGGAGGCAGAAGGGTCTGGTGCCCAACAAACATGGAGGGATGGGGCCACAATCAGGCTTCACCCTCCTGGCCCTGGCCCCAGCACCTGGGGTGAGGGCAAAAAGGAGAAAGAGGGCCAAAGGGAGGGGGCTTTTCCTGCTGGGCAGAGCAGTCAGGTCGCCGTGGTCCTCGCCGTGGTCCCCACCTGGACTCTGCCCACATCGTCATGTGCTATGAGTGGGGCAGCAAGGACAGAGTCCCCAGCAATGGCGATGCTGCAGTGGGGAGGAAGGGGCTTGTCCTGCTGGGTGAGGCTGAGTCCTGAGGACAGAGGAGGGCCCATCACACCTACCACAGCGGAGCGGGGAGCTGGGAGGGAAGGGACAGAGGCTGCTGGTGCCAGTGAATGCCTATGTCCTTCCTCTTCATCACAGAGGCTTAGTACCGCTGGGTTGGGGGTGGGGGGTGAAAACAATCACCCAGTTTCCCTCACAGACAGGGCCACAAGACAGTGACAGTCAATGTTAGCAGGTCTGCCCAGTGGAATTCCAGGAAATCACCTTAAAAGA